ATATGTTGGTTGCCCCATTCGTAGCGTGTTACTGAAATAGGATTATAGGATAACCTTACTTCCCTCCTCCCAAAACCATCCCAGTTATTGCTAAGGTGAAAAATCATATGCATTTGTCGGAAAATGGGTACTTCCTGGTTTTATGTCTCCACGACAGAGATGACATCGTGTTTTTCAGGTTTTCCCTGCGTATGTCCCATTCTTGTGAACGCGATATCTCAGGAACATGTCGAGGAAAGTTCTTCAAATTTGGCATAAACATCCACTTGGATTTAAGGATGAAGTGGTCAGATTATGGTGGTCAAAGGTCAAGGTCACTGTGACCTCACATAACATGCTTTTGACCATTACGTAAGAAGTGATGAGCATATTTCACAGCTGGTCAGACACTGAGTTTGTGAGACCCCTCTGACGCAAAGGTCATTGTGACCTCAAAATAGGTTTTTATCCATCATTTTAAGAACGAGTAAACAATGACTAGCACAGTACGGACTTTCATCTTTCCATCTCATCCATGTTCACTTACTGCCTCATTCTGAATTTTAAGTCCTTTTGTCACTGATAACAAGGTATTGGAGCGCAGCAAGCTAATCTTGATCCAGTGAGTGAGTTTTACCTACAGTACATCTCGAATCTCATCACATTTAAAAAAAATCCAGGAGAAAACAGCACCACATTTTATATAGCTAAACCCTATATAAGAATACATTTTTCCATAATTATACATTTGTAATATATATTCACAGGAGTCACATCTAATGTATCAGTATAGTGATAATGTTTAGCCAAATACACTTCATCCATTTTTATTGAATTCCTTCTGCTGGTCGGACATTTTGGATGCTGGTCATTTCTAGTAGAGTCGTAATCATTAAAAAGGTTTTGCATCTGTAGCTTTTACGTGTCATTATTTCAGAATAGTTAGGACAAAACCTCAAACCAAGAGGATCCACTTAGCATCCAGGGTGTAACCATGGCTTTTTGTGCCCCCCCTCTTGCCCCCCACCTCCCCATCCCCAGTATGCTCTCGAGCGTTTAAAGGTCATGTGTGAAGAGGCCTTGTGCAACAGCCTTTCAGTGGAGAATGTGGCCGACACCCTCATCCTAGCAGACTTGCACAGTGCCGAGCAGCTCAAAGCACAAGCCATAGATTTTATCAACAGGCAAGTATCGCAAAATAAAAAAAAACCTCCAGTGATAAATTCCTGCTGCCATTTCTGTTTACCAGCCCTGAATGCTTACCTTTTTATCTCTTTGCCATAGGTGCAGTGTCCTGAGACAGCTGGGCTGTAAAGATGGAAAGAACTGGAATAGCAAGTATGTAATTAGCTGATATATGTGACACAAGATTAATAACACACTCTTATCTCTTCTCCCTACCAGATGCATTAGAATTCATTGTTTTAGCCCAGGCAGACAGAGTGCTATTTGCCTTTTCAGTTTGAAGCTTCCTATCTTTGTATCCGAGTTATTAATAGACCTATACCTGGATAAACCCTGGAAATGGAATATTTGCAGAATTTTAAAAAGAAGGGAGGTGGTCGCTATGGAAGTTTTTCTTTCCGATGATGTAGTGTGTTGTCACGGGGCACCTTGAAATGTTAAACTTATTTCCGTCTTTGTTGTATTCAACATATGAAGACGTTCTGATTCTACAGTAACTGCAACCTATGCACAGAAAGCACTAATGGTCCTTTTCAAGTTTATCATGCAACTCAAAAAAACAAGTCCCCCTTATTTGCTTTGTCATTACGAGCTCATTTATGTTTATTGATTTTTAATGTGCACATTGTCATGTCTGAGTGTTAACTTCATTTTGCCTGTGCTTACAGTCATGCTACGGATATAATGGAGACTGCAGGCTGGAAGTCAATGATCCAATCCCATCCTCACTTGGTAGCCGAGGCCTTTCGTGCCCTGGCTTCAGCACAGTGCCCACCCTTTGGTCTTCCCAGAAAGCGTCTAAAACAGTCCTGACTGCCTGACTGTGCCCCAGAACTTTACTGGAGGTGTGAAGCATGGGTTTACAAAGGAAGGACTAGCGAGGGTACCACTCTTATTTCCACCAAAACTGAACACACTTGAATAAAGAAGAGTGGAGCATTCTGGCCAGGGATGTGGTGAGGCTGGCACGTGGACGACTGACATCAGTGGATTGGGAAAAAATTGGTAAAATTGGTCTTGCTTGCTTGCTTTGCTGCCCCAACTGAATTCTATTCAGCCCGGGTAGCAAGTCAAGCTGTCTGCTACTGTTTTTTTCCTGTAATTTTGAAAATGGCCTTAATATATCTGCCATTGCTCTGGAGCTGCTCTAGAGTACTTTGTCTATTTTACTCTGTGCCTGCCTTGTCACAAAGACCAGGCCTCCTCCAGGTTGCACTAGTTCCCATGAATAGTCATTTTGATATGGAGTTCTATAGGAACGTAACAAAGGTTTAACTAAATGGGAAATATTATATATTTGTAATGTTTAGCCCGTTTTGTGACTAGACATTAAAAAGCATGAACACTTTCAGTGCAAGGTCAGTTCTTTACACTTTTTAAAAGATGTGTATGCCCCATATTGATGGCACCATTTCTATGTAAATGACAGTTGAACCATCTTCAGAAGACCAGTGTACAAGAAAGTCTATTGCATATTTGTGGGGAAAAATTGTAATCTGCCATTATGAAGACCCAGTGTCAAACCTTATAATACTTGTAAGACGGAAAAGTGTCTATACTTTGGCCCTAATATATTAAAACATTGGAAGTATATGGAAGTATTTACTCAGTCTCCCATTTGAATGACATATTCCAGATCATACGTCTGAACTGTTAGATTCAATTTTGAGAATTTCTGTCCTTAGTATCGCCAACTTTCAAATATTATATATTCTCAATATATTGTGGTTAACTAAAAGTGGAGAGACTAATGCATGGTCATGTTATTGTCAAAGAAAGTGTCCAAGTACCAATTTTGTTTTAACAATTTATTTTCTGCAATTATCTGACATATTTGTGCAGAATTAAATGAATTGAGTATGTGCAAAAACTTCCTCTAACATGCTTGGATATATGTAGGATGCTGAGCATCACTTCTACTGGCAATGTTATCTGTGTTTGAATGGGGGGTTGTCATGTTTATTCAGTCCGTCTCGTATGTAGTGTGGTGTGACCGACACTTCAGAGGATTTTGTAAATTAAAAGAGTAGCATCATTTTTAGATGATATTACTCATCATTCAGCGTCATGTTGAGATGTTGAAAACTCTTGTTTGGAAGCAAAAAAGATGAAGTTGTTGTCTGCAAGAATGCCTGCATTAACCCATTAAACCATTTTCCAGCAGTCTGAAGTAGCCCAGGATTATTTTATTTATTTTTTAAACTGGAGATTGTTTAAATCACTGTGACAGGAATTTCCGTTTGAGGAAGGGTGATTATTATCTACGCTTTCTTTTTAATGGTCATGTTAATGGATGTGGATGTCAGGCTGAGGTGATTTATTTTTTTTATTTTTTTTTATTTTCCTCCATCTCTCCAGTGGTTTTCTTTTAAATGGAAGATTAGAAAACAACACCACCATGATAATCAAAGGAAAATGTGCTTAAACTTCATTATCATAGCAACATGTTTAATGTTGAACCTTTTTACACTGCATGAAAGACATTTCTCCCCTTGTTTTATGTGTGAATGCTCGGAACAAGCGCTAATTAAAGCGAACGCAAGGCTGCTCTCTTGCTGGAACAGAGACGTCTTCATCAGCAGCTTGCTGATCCTCGTCCGCCCCTCTCAGCACAGATCCTAGGAAAAGACCTGATACCATCTATGCTTTAGGACGCCTCTCCAACCTTTTATCTTCCTCTTTCACTTTCCTTCACTAACTGAGATGCTTGAAAGAGCAGATGCCTGCAGTGGCATCGTCACAATCGGAAATTTGTTCGCAGGAAATGAGATTGTTAAAGAAGCAGTGAACAGTGACACTGCGGGTCAGAACCTTTAGATGCTTGAATATAAATAGAGGCTTGGTAAAAATTTTATGTGAAAATACCCTTGTCCAAATGACAAAGTGAGGCTGCAGTAGAGTGCTAACTCACCACCATTCCCACCATGAAGAAGTGAATGATAACATGAACAGTTTTTGAACTGCTGTGCTTTCCTCAGACTGGTACACTTGAGGATGTAGCTTCCTTTGTTTCCCTGGATGGATTTTGGCTGGAAAAAGGATGTATGGATGTTTTTGCAGAAACAGCTGATCAGCATATCCAAATGTGACATGTGTTGTTGCTGTGTTACACTCTTAGCATTTTCCAATTAGTATTCCCAATCCAGAGTCTCAAAAAAGAATTTAAACCTGCATTTACCCCCCTGATGATGAAGTGAATTGTTGCCCCTTCTGCACTAAAATAAATGTCACTTGAAATGGTATTATTGGTTTGAACACTACTGCATTACTGTACTGCATACTACATTTCCTAAAGAGGTAATTCAATTTTTTTTAATTTTATATAAAAATACATAATTATTGGTGTTAAGTGTCAGATGAGTGTATAAAATGGGCAATTAGCTAACAAGTTGAAAGTTGTTAATTATTTGAGTGTCCAATAATAAATCATTTCAGCACTGGAAATCATGAAAAGTGAAATGTATGTTAACATTCCTCTTAGTCTTCCAAGGATGTGTGCCGCTGGAAAGCCTGGTGTGACTTGATGCCTAAGGAGTGGGTGCCTCACCCTGATCAGATAAGAGTAATGGAAGCGAATGAAAAGACCCCTGTCCCTGATGGCCACAGCAAAATGGATGTGCTCCCTGAGGTGTACCTCTGGTATCATCCACGCCTGTGGACACAGATTTATTGCCCATTAAAAAGCTACACCGAAATGTAACTCTTAAAATGGTGTGTTTATCCTGTTGAGAAGTCCTTGTAGGAATGAAACGAGACAACTGTGAGCACCGACAGACCTGGGCTGAGTCAGTGTGACAATATGCTGTGAGCCAAGTTCAAATAAGGTTTAATGCCATAAAAACCTAAATTGATCTTTACAATTTCATTTTAACAAAATGAACCCCAGCTGAAATCAAATATTCCAAAATGAACAGTTTTACTTACACTATACACACAGCAGTGCTCTTATTTCCTATTTTACAGAGGAAACTGTTTAAACAAGATTAAGCAAGCAGGAAATCAAAAAAGGTACAATCTGCAAGGATTACAAAAATGGAAATCAAAGCAATCTATAACAAGAAGCAATAAATATGACATCTATATCATCTACATGATATTGCTTAACAAACACCAAAAATAAGGAACAGTATACTTATTCATATATTTCTCTGGAAAATTAGAATAAATTGGCATTGTTTACTCTGAAGCCATAAGTAAACACATTTAGTTTTAGAGTTACATGTTAATACACAGCATTTGCACAAAAGAGTAGAACTAAAACATCAACATAGATCAATTCGGATTTAGTAATTTCCTTATCATACACCTCTCCTGATGTGTATAATGTGACAGGGTCATTTACAGCTGATGGGGAAAGACATGAGATACAGCAAATAACGTAACACTGACCGAAATAATCGCCATGTGATAAGTTAGTGGCACACGCCCTAGCCTAAAAACCCTGGATATACGCAGTCAACACAACTTATGACATTTAATGTGTTGATGGTTTTCAACAGAACCTTTCAAAACTGTTTTAGTGATTGCTAAGTCAAAGCACATTACACCACTTACAACAAGACTGGATGTTATCCACTTTTACACAAAAGTCAGTCAACTTAAGCCTGCTGTACAATCGGGAAATGTCTTGACATTTTCAAATTTAGTCCCATTTCTCATTATAATTCCAGACGGATTGTGTATTTTTCCCTTTTTTTTCCCCTTTTGGTTTCTCCACTCTTGGTCTTAGGTAAATGAAATTTCCCAGGCTAATTAAAGCCTATTAAAGACAGGTAATGTCAGGGCTGGTGGCAGGACCATGACAAAGTGCTGATAATTGTCTGCCAGACTCACTAAATCCACCTGTCCTGCAATTATCACTTTCCCCCCGCCTCTCCTGACACATTAATCCACTGCGGGGCCCCTTCAGCAGGCTGATGCCTCAAAGTGCATCCTGCAAACACAGATGTTGGATTTCAGACTAGTTTAGCATACACATGCCTTATGATGATTGCTGCAGAAAACCAACACATTTTAAGGAGCACACAAGGCAGCAGCCAGGTTATACATGGATGAGTACCTACATATGTATGTGTAATGATTTATGATTATACTTTCTGCTTGCCTTTGGATTAGATGTGTCGGATCAATTTATTTTGTCATGGGCACATAATCAATTCACTTTATTTCACTCCCTAAAAGAGATAAAAGAGATTGTAATGCCATATCAATTATTCAGAGCTACTTGAAAAAATACCCATCGATCAAACTAATCTAAAATAGTAGACACCGTCCTGCCTTGTGTTCTGTTATCAGGTACAAATGGATGTTAAGTCTACTTCAAATGCAATGAACAAATCATTTTGACTAATCAGTCAAATTATAGAGATGTTTCAAATGTGAAATATCTAATTTTATGCCCCGTTGAACAACAATTCAAATGTCTTAGTATTGTAATAATTAACACGATTCATATTTCATCCCATAACTGGTTGAGGTGAGGAGAATGTTATACAATGTTAGCATCAATGCAGCACTGGCACAGAAGTCAGTGTGCACTTCCAACTGGGAGGCTGCTTGCCTATGGTCTAGCCTTGAAGAAAACATCTGGACAACATGCTAATTATACCAGTGGTTTACAGAGAACATGTGCTGTTGTGATAGGGAGGAGTCACCCAGGCTTGGTAGCTAGCTCCCAAATCAACCCCTAAAACCAAGTCCCTGGACACCTAACTATCTTGAGTGTTAGAGCTGTATACTCATTTGCAGTATTTACAAAAGTTTTGTAACAATGCATCAAATCCCTCCAGAGTGTGTCCCATTATAAGTTGCACTTCCTGCAACATATCTCAGGTATTTAGGTATTTCGGGACAAGGAGCTTAGAGATTGACATTTAAATTTTTTGAAGATCAAACAAAAGGTTGATGCACACTAACAACAGCTAGATCATCCTGTGGAGGAGTAGGGTGTGTCGCTATGGTAGTTATAGTCAGGGCATACCTTCTGCACCAGTTTATAGTCTACACTGTAAAAGGCTATATAGATGCATATGACTTTGAAGGGTTTTGAGCACAGCCAGGACACATGGCTCTGCGTATGCTCCTGATAGCACACTTTGGACGGGTCAAAGCTGCACAGGGCAGTCTTCTTGTTGCGATCCGTCTTCTCGTACTCAATGCGGCAGTTGAATGATTTGGTGTCTTTGGTCTCCAGCGTGGACTGCTGGGCAATCTCAAACTCCACCACCTTGGAGGGTGGCACCAGGCTGACCGACACGTTCCCCATGCCTGTGGAGTTGTGGCGAAAGTAAACGCTAAAGGTGCCGTTCCCGTGGTCCACGATCTTCCCTGTGATTAGCAGGTTGAGTTTGACCGTCTTGATGTTGGAGTGGAAGTCCCCCCACCCGAACATCTTTTTGAACTTGCCAGTCTTGACGATGGGCCTGCGTTTAGTTCTGGCTTGTGCACCCTGAACATCTGTCTGGTTAGATAACCAGTCCCAGAAGTCCTCCATGTTCTGTAAATATGTAATTTCCCTCATGTTGCTCTTAAACCCGGGGGAGCCCCTGGCAAACAAACGCAGGGGGTTGAGGATCCGTGGACTGGCCCCCGTGGGAGAAATCTTCTGTTCATTATCAGTGTCGCCCCACTCGATGAGCTCTGTTGCTCCTCCATGCACTTTCCTGCATGTGACCTTCAGAGATAACAGAGCAAAGGTACACAGAAAAATTAAATTAAATAATTTATTTAAATTACATATTTATATGATTTTTGAAATAATAATATAATTGTGCAATAATTTGTTGCTGATCAATGTAACACAATAATTATACAACCTATACCCAAATATTATAGAGTTGCTTTTTTCACAGAAAAAATCCACTGGTGCACAGACAGTGATGCATTTAATGTCCTTAGTTCGTTCAGAAAAAGTAGAAAGTAGTTTACATGGGCAGCGATACCTTTTACAGACAAGGCATCTAACAGAAAATCTAAATTCAACATTAATTGACCACTTATCTCTGGTGATTGCACTGTAAAAATGCAACAGCAGCACTGAGGATAAAGAAAAGCCCTTCAGCGCTAAAGAAGAGGAGAAATATCCGACTGTAATCCAACCTTGGAAATAAGACATTATAAATTTACACAAAAAGAACCCCAGAAACAATGCAATTGCATTTATTACAAAGGAAATGACCATTTTGAAGTTAAAGGAATGGTTTGATATTTTGGGAAATAACTGTCTTACAGAGAGTTAGACGATAAGGCAGTGTCTGTAGGGTAATCATGAAGCTTGAGAGAGCAGCCATTTAGCTTAGCTTCGCAGCTAACAGCTAGCCTGGCTCTGTCCAAAGGTAAAAGAAAACCTGCCTACCAGCACCTCCGAAGCTGAGAGACAGTCTAGCTTTCCCTCTTCCCCTTCCCTTTTTATTCCTATATATATTTCCACACACCACCAAGTATGTCATTGATTTTGGTGAAACTGGATCATATTTTATGGAGAAAAATGTTCTGGTTTTCCCTCTGGTGCCTTAGTGATTTATAGACTTTCCTGATTGATAGAATGCTTTACTATTTGCTAAAGTTAGTTAGGAAGCTCAAAGCACCAGGGGAGTGTTGGTATATTTATACTGCTAGCAAAGGAGCTTTGGACCAGCGGTAGGAGGGGATGTATTCAGGCCCAGTTCAAGGGGGAGCCAGTTGGGAATGCTAACTGGGAGCGGAGCTGGTGGGCAATGTGACTGGGGCTCAGGAGCCTCTGCAAGCGTGGCAGAGACAAAGAGACCCAAGAGGACATTGACGGAGGAAGCTAAAAAGAGAAAAGGAGAGAGTGACTGGGCAAGAAGCTAACAGACAAGAGTAAATTTCGGACAGGCCTTTAGTCGTCGGCGCTCATGAAATAAAAGGCTGCAGACAGATGGCGAGCTGGCCTTCATGCTGTTACTAGTAAGTAATATTAACGGGCTTGCTGTGTCTTTTTGTTGTTGTACTTGCTTGATGTTTGACTGTGTTAGCAAAGTTGTTTCTTTCTAAAAAACTTTCTAGTTTTTGATCATAAGGAATGTAATTATAATAAATCCACACGTATAGCTGTCCATATTTTCCATAGTGGTATTGCAACTGGGGGCGCATAATCGCACAAATACCAAATCTTACATAGCGTTGCTTTAATGAAATACACAACTTTTTCTGTTTGAGCCATGGGGCTGACTAAAACACTGATCCAAGCAAAGGACCTTTTGTCTTTAACTTCAGTAGATAATCCCTTGTTTATACAATGTTAAGCATGTTTTTGTGTGAGTAAGACTGAGGATGCTGGCATGAGTGTGTGAATGGCATTGCCTGGGCATTCCTTCACAGCAACCAGGATGAAAGAGAAAGAGGGTAAGGTTGGTCAAAGGAGTTTGAATTATGGTAGAGAGGCTTTAGTTAAAAACAGATTTGTTGTAGTTGTAGTTCCAGTATATAAGCACATGAAAACGGTGTTTGTAGTAATTGTATTACATTAATCACTGTGCAAATGTAACTTAAGTTAAACTAAAAGCATGCAAAGGTAAAAAGTGCAAATAAAAGTACACAAACTTGGGATTTAATTGCATGTAATGAAACTATGCACAGACACTAGTAGCACCAAAGATGATGAAATGCAGTAAAAAGGATGCACTGATAAACTCCAACTGGGCTCATATTTGCATAAGGCTTCTAATATTTTAGTACTTGACCGATTACACGACAATAAAAATCCTCTGGACTTAACATTTGAGCTGGTCCCACATCAGCAGTGCTATTCTTATACACCCAAGCATATGAACTTTAGCTTGTAATGGTTCGCAACAATAAAACAGGCTTCTACGCTAGTATGGCAAAGTATGCGCTAAGTGCTAATCCAGACGCAGCAATGAACTGTGATCCCCCCCCCCACCTTGTACCTCAAAGCCTTTTAGCTTCAGGAGCGATTCCTGGTCCACTTCAGATAAAGCTTTAATAATTCACGGCAATAAGCTTAGCTAGTTTTATTAGTAATTAGTAGTGCCGGCTTTCCCCAGGCCCGGTTGTAGGGATCACTGAGAGAAGCAGATGTTGAAAGCACAGAGCAGCGGCTGAAGTCTCACTGAGCTGCTGCGCACTACTTCCAGACTAATTATAATTTTGCTGTAAGCTCAACTGAGGCACATGTGTACAAAGCTAACAAACTTTTTTTTGTCACACTCACATTCCTATAAACATATCCATTCAACATGTAGAAAGTGCTACATACATCTTATATTGTGCATCTGTGTATCTTCTAATTAGAGCTTCTCTTAACTAGGCTGCTTATGTCAGAGACAGTAGTAACACCTTAATGTAGCAAACAGGATGTAATGGCTCGGCTATCTGGATACGTAATGTGAAATCAATGTCTCCCACGGCCAGAGAGTCTGGCTCATCTATCAGCACTCACAATGCTTAATTAAGACAGTTGCTCCCTGTAAACATGGATGAATGAGGCAACACTGTAATAATTCCCCTCTATGTAGCTCCTCACATCCACAGTCACTTAATCAACCAATTCCAGTGGCAGTATTCCCTCACTGATACCGCCACTTAGTAATACCTTGTGTGAGCTCAGCTGTTAATTTGATTTGACTCTTACAACATCACAATAACAGGCGATGCTGAACATAAAATCTCTGCGACTGCGGGCTCCCAACAGGAAAATTTCTTCACCGCTGTGAACAAAGAAGATGTGGCACTCGTCTTCCCACCAGCCCGAGCTGTTATATCCGTTACACATTGAGTGTCATGCAGCGCAGCTTCAGAGGTGAAACCAAATTTTGTCTTTCAGTGTAAATCTCAGGTGAGCTTTGTATGGGATGATTATAATGGAAATGAGAGAGCAGTTTAAGTATGATGAGCAACTGGGGAAATTGCTGTGACAACAAGGGGATCAGCAAAGGGATATCTTATACTTAAATGCCCCGAGAGAGATGAAGCACTGGGAACTTGAAAGCTTGCACTGACACATAGGCTTTGGTTTCTTTCTCTCTCGCTGTCTCCCTGCACACACGCAGCACCAACACACACACACACACACACACACACGCACACACACAACACACACACACACACACACACACACTAACACACCTCGTTCATTTAGGCGGAAGTGCTGTCTCTTAAAAACAGACTAAAGGAAACCGAGTTTTTGTACAAGATGCTGTGGAGAAAAAAAAGAGGCAAGGTCTGATGAAGGAGAATCTACAAAAGCTTAATTAAGATTTCTTAATCGGTGCTGCCGTGCTAGAGGCATTTCGGGGCGACTTGAAACAAGACATTATTATGATAATAACTGCAGACTTATGGAGCTGAAAACACCAGACCTCATTTCAACAGCACAAGGCAAAGTGTAGGTGAAGTGGCAAACGTTGCAGATATCTGCCTGTGTGGTTTAGCCTCTTCCTTTTCCTGTACGTCCTAAACAACAAAAAAAAAGAGAGGAGCTAGGACCTCACACCCCAAAGCAAAGACAGATCATCTATATACCACAGCAGTCAAAGGTATATCCGCCTTATAAAAGAGCACGCTTAGTCGACAGTAAGCATAAAGGTAGGTCAACTATAAATGCTGTTTTAATGGATATCCACCAGTATGAGCAAAGTTTTTTATAGTGAAGCTGCTTATGGCTGATATTTCCCCTCTGAAACAGCATTTAGAGCTCTCTCTCTCTCTCAATATAGCAACTATTAAGTTGCGATTTCTTATACTTATTAATCATTATAATTTTGCATCACCACTGACAGGTAGAGCGTTGCATAACTATAATTTACACCTCTGTTATCGCAGAAGCAACAGCGAAGCATTTCATTGTGAGGTTTTCTTGCAAGAGGTAATGTATGTGTCAAGGGCATCACATTTTTTATTGTATTGTGAATAAAGTAATTTAAACTTTGAGTTAAATTCAAATGCGCACTTGGCTGAAAGTAAAGATGGGGGGCTATTGAGCAAATAAGATTATTAACAAGGCAGGCTGGCAAATCTATCATATTCAGTTTAACTTTGAATATTAAACTCATTTGCACAAAATGTATTAAATAAAATGTGCAAAAAACACTTTGGCTGACAGAGTTTTGGCCTGGCTAATTTTAGATCAGACCACATAGACTGAGTGGGCTGATATTACTTGTCCTATTACTTGTCTGATGAGCGACTAGAAATGTCAGTATAGCAAGTAATTTAGAAACAGGATCAACATTACATTGTTTGATCTCCTGAGAGTACAGAAAAGTTTATTTTACAGCTGTAAAATGTCAACACATCTTAGTTACGATTCTAAAAAATGTAAGATCCATATCAGAAATGATTGTTTGTTATGCATTTATGTTAGAAAATTCATATTCAAAATCAGATTTATCAATATGGGTTGGCCTAAAAAAGGGTCAATACAATATACCATGAATTTCCCTCATTAATATGTGTATCAGCATAAATGTTAGGAAAACTGTGTTTTGGAAAGTTCATCTGTCAATCACTTCAGTCAATGACAGGCAGTTCAGTCTTATATCAGAGGAGAAAAATGTTTTTTTATACTTGAGGCAGCCTTGAGTAAAATACCTATACATATACCGCCTTTTATCTTACTACACAAGCAATTATTGCACCAAATCGTCTTGTCACCTTCTTTTATGTGTGTCAAAAACTCTCTGTCTGTGCACCTTGGTTGTGGTATTAACTGCAAAATATTGTTATTGCAAAAGTGCTTCCTTTAATTTAACAGTCTTTTCACAGAAAACCAATTATATACAGACAGTAAATGGCTCTATGTTTCATGAACATCTTGTATGTATTTCTTTGTATGTGTCCGTGAAAATGATTTTATTTGCAACTTTTTCAATGTTTTTACTGCTATTTTTGTAAATAAATGATAATGATAATGATAATACTACATGTTCTGTATATTTGATTTAATGTAGTGTCATTCAGTGCTATCCAGAGGTATTAGTAGAACCTAAATACTGACAGTGGTCTGAAAGCCAGCACGCCACACACAGAGTCAGAATGAATCAGCCTTGACATTCATCTGTAATGAGCATTATGGAGCTGGCTGCCTGCTTGTCCCGTGGGTAGACATATCTTTTAGAGGCCTGACATAAAGGTAATTGCCACAGTGACCAGAACTAGCCTCTAGAAAGTTATTAAGAAGCCAGTGACATCTGGCTTCTGGATCATCTGAAGAGATGCCGTTAAAATGCATTTCCAGCGAGCAGCCGGTATCATTGTGCTCGGCTGTGATGGGTTCTGGGCCGCGGGCAAGGCTACAGTGTTGTTTTGATGGCAACAACGGAATCTCTCTCAACCTGGCATAGTTGACAATGTGGCCCCCACTTATGATCTGAGATCTGCTTTTCTGTGTCTTTTTTTGTCTCTTTGTATTTGTTCTGTATGAGAGCCTTAGCATCATCTTCATTACCAAGTTTCTCGTTGGAGTTTTGGAGTTATAGTTGATTTTTTTCCAGCACATACGGTTGGGATATGCATCGGGGGAAAATTGGTTTCAGTCATCTTTCTCACAATAAACAAAATGGGCAATTAACCTGCTCATCAGTGCAAGCAGAGCAGTTCCAATGATGCACTCCACTGTTCTTCATGGATTTATCTGTGCAAATTGACCTCACTTTGGTGGTGCAATTCATTTCTCTGCTAATTTTCTGTGTCTGAAGCTTCATTAACTTGATGCACTTCTACGTAGTAAAAATCTGGACGTCCCATGGAAATTACACCGGCTTCACAACAGCCTACCCTAATACTTTCCCAGCAACACAACACCTGCTCTATTAGAGCTGCTCAGGCGGCACTTCTAGCATTAGACCTCAGACTGTTGCAGAGCTGGATTGACTGCAGCCTCTTGCTTTCAAGCATCCAACATGACAAGCGGCTCCCCTCACATTAAAACCATTCTCAGCCTGCAATCCCCAGCCCCACGTCCTTCCCCAGCCATCTTCCTCCTGATGTTGCAGGGCATATCATTTGTAATGATTCACACCCAGAGCCAGTTCCAGGAGAGAAGGCCCTGGAGGCGCTTAGGCAGCGCAGAGCGAGAGTCTACACACTGCTGAAGAATAGATTGGTGCTCTGATCGCTGGAACAGCCTCACGCTCCAGAGCCATCACTTTTAATCAGAGGCCGTCCAGGGAAACACATGGCAGGTGCTTCAGCACTGTGGTGGATCACAACAGCAAATCCACACCGGGGGCACCTTACCAATCACAGAAGGCTATGGTTAGTGTGTGTGTGTGTGTGTGTGCATGTAGCATATCTACTCCCCTCCAGTATAATCATTTAGGCCATTACCATCTGACCTCTGTGAGAATGAGAGACCACAGCTTCTAATATCTTAACATTCCTGCTTAAGATGTTATAGACCCAATATTGAATTTGTGGCTGAATTCATCTACATACCTGGGATCATTTGTGGTGAAAATTGAGAGCAGCCAGTATCTAATGCATTATTACATGTGAAGCCGAGTAAAGGTGAGATGGATTTCTACATGTTCAGAATTTTACATCATACATATGCAATACAATCTATTTATGTGGACGTGTAATGGTGATACTGACCTTCAAAGGCCTAAAAACTGATCCTGTCGACACCTCTGTAGGTTTACACCTGACCAGCTTTCGACTGTCTAAACATGTGTTGATGGTGAGAGGAGAGGGAATAGTGGTGCTGATGTTTTCATTACTGCAATCACAGCAGTATCTTACTGTTGACACACGTTCTGCAAAAACCCGAAGAGCATGTATCACATCGTTGTCATGAAACATGATGTGTAACATGAAGTGTGCTAGCGCTATCAAGATGTTCCAGGTAAAGATGTGGGGAGGCATACATCATTAGTGTCAGTGATATTAAAAACATAAGCTGTTCACCGCAAACAGCGCACACAACTTTGGTGTATCAACACGCACTGAATAATAATTGTGCAAATTTGATTTCTTGCTTTACATTTAATGTGCAGTGAAAACTGCAAAACCCAAATTATCTGATGGCAACAAGAAAACACACTCTAACAATGACTCTGCTGATTGTGACAATCTGCTGCGGCACCTGCTAGTTCTGTTACAGCTGCTTTTTTGCATGTTGGTCAGTGTTAAGAGATACATACAAATGTTCAAGTTTGTTGTCAGTAATCATGAGACAAACATGAATGCCAAAGAACATAAGGGCTTCATCAATCACTTCAACGGCATCCAGCCACACAGAAATGCATAAACCAAGCCTGAGGGGCTTTGTAAGGTGTGCAACGTTCAAATGCACTGTAATACAAGCCTAAAAATGAAGCAGGCAAATGGAAATATTTCTGCTCTACAATTTACTCTGTGCTACATTGCCAGTGTTTGAAAATGTATTGTTTTCTTTCAACAATATGGCCAGATGATGAGTTTTATGTTTTAGAACCCATTGTCAAGTGCCCACATCAGCACACATTCATCTTGCAGACCTTGAGCAAGACACAGTATCTTCACCATTTCCTCAACTGCTGATCTGACACTGTGCCTGACCTCTGACCTCCCTTGTGGTGAATCGAAAGGACAAAGAAAAGCCCTGATAGAGAGCAAGAGCACAACTTCCTTCTTCGAGAAATTATAAGCAGGCTACTTGAGTTCTCAATGGAGATTCTCTAGTTATACAAGTCATTGTATTCTGACACAAATACAGCACAACAGACTATAATCCACGTGTTTTCTTAAACTAACTTTAGGAGCCTGTTTTTGCACACATGTTGTGGCAAAATA